TGAAAACGGCCCAGTCCACTCAACAGATAAAAGCAATAAATTTTTACTACTTGCTTTATTGTTCTGAAACATTGATTTTCAAAAATATGAGAAATAACATTTTGTTAAGTTCCGATAAGCTTTCGTTATAAAAACGCGGAACCAGATGCAGAAGCGGATGTGAAAATGTATGCGGAACTTCTGTAATTGCGGAAGCGTAAGCAGAAGTCTGTTCTCCTCCATATGCAACTAGCCACTGTGTTAACCAAACATAAAAAATTTATAAATAAAATAATTCCAAGTGGTCTGTATTATATTATTTTATTCGATTAAGCTAACGTGCCTATCACGTTGAAGTTGGCTACGTAGATATCCACACAAGTGGACCTTGTTGGAGCATACGTAATCCTAAAATATAGCATCGTGCTACAGATGGCGTTTACTGCGTCGTTTGTAGTACTTTATAAAATTTGTAAATAGTACAAGCTGAAATCGTTTACACGTTATACATGTTTTAAGTTTGGGAAAAGGTGTTCAGCAAAGCGAAATAATTCGATAAAGCTGGAACGGTATTTTTACAATGATAACTTCTGGAGTGTCCCTATTATCATTGGCAATATATGTATGCGTTTGGATATGCGAGAATCCCGAGGGATACCCGTTTACATTTTACATCTCCGCTATTATACGTTTTATTTCGATTGTGATCGGGATAATACTTGACGCTAACACTTCGAACGACCACAAATGTGTTTCGAAGCTTGGAAAAAATTTTGTCATCTCTGCAAGCACTTTCGTATATCCGAATAGGATGAAAGCGCATTAAACAAGAAGGATCATGCGCCATATACATAAAGGTTCTGGAAAAAAAACCTTTATTGAGATAAGAAAAATGCTTATAAGGTTTTTAAAATTGTACCTACTTAGTCGAAATTTTAGATGAAAGAAATTCGAAAAAGGTTATTAAAGGTGTATGTTTGGATCACGGCAATGTACGGGTGCGAAACATGGACAGTGGGCGCGGCGGAAAAGAAAAGGTTAGAAGCGTTCGAAATGTGGTGTTATAGGCGGATGATGAAGATATCGTGGGTAGAAAAGGTTAGAAATGAAGAGGTATTGGAAAGAATAGGGGAACAGAGGACTCTATGGAAGTCAATAAAAAATAGGCGAGATAGGTTGGTAGGACACTTTTTCATGCATGAAGGTCTAGTCAGAGACATATTAGTGGCAGAAACAGCAGTTAGGAGGGGTAGAGGTAGACCTAGATTAGATTACTGTTCGCAAATAGTTAAGGACGTGGGTTGCTCTAGTGTTAGGGAAATGCGAAGTTTAGCTCAGGATAGGAAAGAGTGGAGGTACGTGTCCAATCAGTCTTAGGACTGACGACCTTACGATGATGAATATTTGATCGGAATTTCAACTCATATATGGTTTTTATCATTCAGAAACAATCACGGAATTGCGAAGTCTTTGAAATGTTATTATAAAAAGGCAACATTTGAAGCAACTAATTATTAAACTTTAAATTGAATTGAAATAGTTTTATAAAAAGTTTAATGAATTTGGTATAATTTGACTCAATTCTTTGTAATTATCAAAATTGATTATTAGAAGCTCTTTATTGTTATTATTAAATCATTATATAACTACACAAGTAATCCTACAGGGGTAACCAAATCACCTGTTCGCAGACTGGAACAAAATATTCCTTTGAGGTTATTAGGATCGGTAGTTGTTATAAAATAGTTTAATATACTTTCCGTCATAATATAATCAATACTAACAAATATAATTAAGTGTTTAATTGATATCAATAATCAATTTTGGATTCTTTGAGAAATATGTACCCTGCAGATGTTTCCGAATAATTTAAGAAATAGACAAGTTAATAACCCTTTGATGTCCGTGTTTACACCATAATTGTTTACTATAAACAAATAGCAAAAGAATATAATGTTTAAAGAGTTTTAAACTATAATATAAATTTTGGTGGAGGCGCCGGGTCAAAATTTATATCATTAATTTGTAAAATTCTAAAGAATGTAATTCATCCTAGACAACATTTATACCATAATTATTCCATGAATATACTTTCTAAGCGTTTTAAATGTATCCATTCAATTAAGAAAAACAGTAATACAAAATATTCTTAAAACCCAATATAATTCTTTTTAAAAATGTTCTTGCTTAGTGGAAATTGTAGATCACAATATTTGATTGGAATTTCAAAAAGCAAAAGAACATAATGCTTAAAGAGTTTTTCAAATGTGATAATTTCGCATAAGAAATAGAACACTACAAAATAAATACCCAAAAAATTTGGTGGAGGCGCAGGGTCAAAATTTATTTCATATTAATTTGTAAAACTCTAAAGAATGTTATTCATCATAGACAACATTTATACTATAATTATTCCATGGATATACTTTCTAAGCGTTTTAAATGTATCCATTCAATTAAAAAAAGGCAGGAATACAAAGTATCCTTAAAACCCAACGTAATTTTGTTCTAAAACTGACCGATTTTAAAACGTGAACGTCTACCCCTTAAAAAAAAATAGTTTTGCAAAGTTACACTGTGCATCAAAAGTAATGTATGTACACATAAAGAGTTTATAAACTATGGAACGAAGTACCATCGGAAGTTTTCTAAAGTTTGAGAGTTTTAGGTTCTCTTTTTGCAAACTTTATTGTCATGTTGTAACTTAAACGTGCTGTACGTAGAAATAATTTTGTTGTTCTAATACGATAGACAATGGATAAAAAGGACTAGTATAAGTGAAACATGTAAGAGAAAAGTGATTTTTTTCTATTCTAATAAACTACCCCTTACCTGCCCGGTGTAAACTCAAAACTTGATTAAACAAAATTCGAGTAAATAATTATTTGAATCGAAGAAAATTGTCTTTTTCTTTATATATTATACATTATAAATGTATCATTAAATCGGAAACGTCATGTTTTTGTATGTTTTATTTAAGTTTCGTACTCTATTGCTTTAGACGATTGTCTGGGTTTTATAAATATACTTCCGCAACACACAAAGTCGTTTTGACAACTGAAACGTTACGTTAACGCGACACGGTTGTGCCACGGTATGCATTTCACCCCCACCAAACTACCCCCCGAATTTTCACCGTTCGATGTCGGAAAAGCCCCGCTTACAAGACGCACGCGTGGAAAAGCGCGACGCCGGTCGTGACTAGCAAGGAAATCCCTTAACCGCGAGTACGAAACCTCTCGTGCGCGACAGACAAAGCGAACAACATTGCTCGGGGGTTGTGTCGTTACACATCTGAAATGTTTTGGTGGGCTGTCGCTTACTACGATGACCTCTACGGCGACGCATCCAAACCGTCATAGAGTAGTAACTACCCCCAAACGACGTCATCACCCAAATTTACTCCAACTCAACCGTAGCATCTATACGAGCTAATTGTGACGTAGAAGAGACACGAACGTTTTCACAGGAACCATACAGTCCAGTCAAATTGTTTATTGAAATAAGAGGAAAATTCGGCGTGTTTTTCCTTTTTAGCTTATATCTTGTAAAATAATAATCCTAGAGGAAAGTTTCATTCATGTAGGACATAGTTTATTAGCCGGAAAAACATTTCAAAACAAGGAAGTATGCAAAAAGAAATTATAAAACGACTTTTCTCTAGTAATTAAAAAAAAAGTTTCTATAAAACTATTGGTTTTGGCGTTTAAATACTGTCGTTTCAATACAATTTCCTTACATTTAGTTGGGTGTATATACTAGGGGGATTATGACAATCCCCTCCCTTCAAAGATTTAAGGACTCACATTACAGATTATGAGGAAATCCAAAATTCAGATACAATTTTTTCTGACTGCCAATAAGTATTTGAACTACAACATGGAATTCTGTTGATTGATTGTTGAAGTTAAATAATATAGATTTAAATTACAACCCTTTTGTATAACGATGTAGCTGATTGACAAAAATCTAGGTGATGAATATGATACTTGATTTATGCAAGTAATTTGGAATCATGTACATAATAAGGTCGTCAGTCATAAGACTTTTATTATCTTGACTAGCCCTTCATGCCTGAGAAGGTGTCCTACCAAACTATCTCGTCTATTTCTTATTGAATTCCATCGTTTCTTCCATTTTTTCTTTCGCCAAAATATTTTTAATACACAGGATGGTAAAACCAAAATGGACGAATTTTAAAACCTTCTCAAATTTTCAATTTTGATCATACAGTACTGAGCATAAGCACAATAGGTAAAGAAATCCATAAAATATTATTGAGAAAAGGAAAATGCAGTACAATTTTCCAGGCGATCTGTAAACTTTGTCATGACTCTCATTTCCAATGGATTTGGATTCCTTTAATTTTAGACAGTTCCTGGTTAGTTGACAAACAATTCAGACTTCAGATAGTCCCAATGAAAGAAATCAGATGGGGTGGGTTTGGACGCCAGGGAAATTCGACATGTCGGGAAATCACACATCGAGGAAAAATCATTCGTAGAAAGTCTATGAAAGTTTTTGTCTTATGAAATTAACATTGACTACTTATGATTTCAACACGATAAGATTAGAGTTCACAAGCCAATGATTTTCATGGAATTTCTGCAAGCGATTTCCCCGATATAGTAATTTTTTTGGTCCCCACGGCCCCCAGGTCCTCACCCCTCTCCCGTTCTAAAACCAAAAATCGTCAAAGAATTAAAGCAATCTTTCAGATACGAATTTTGCGTTCTGCATGATGATGTTGAGAATTATGATCTTTTCCATCAATAGAAAGATACAAGTTAAAAACAGAGTCATCTACCAAAAAAATTCAATAAGAAATTCTTTTCAATTACGTACACCAGATAGAAGTCAAAGCAGGAAGAGGAAAACAACTATGTTTTTCGTTTCCTAAAAGAGCGTCAATATTTGCATTTTTTATTTTTAGCTTCATATTTACATCTCTTTTAAAAAGGTAAAATTGCGATAAAACGGTAGCAATTTTCCAAGCATTTTGCTTTCCATTTATAGCTTACCTTTTTATCTTTGGCGTAGTAGAGTTTGCGTCCTCGCAATTTGAAGTATCGTCTTTTCCATCTTTGAAAGGACGTCTGCTTCAGCAGGTATCCTTCTTTTACCGGAGCCTGAAAATCGAAATTAAATTTAATTGCGTCCACAGTAACTAACAAGTATCAAAATAAATTGGAAAAGGAAAACAAACAATTGTGGTATTAAAGAAAAAAACCATTCGTCATTAATCAATTTACACAGCCATATCTTCGTAAATTCGGTATATATTTGGATGTTACAGTTAGTCTCTTACTAATTAACAGCTGAATTGGTTTGAATGAAACTGGGTGGATTGCCTTTGTCCTATTTGATAATAGCAATATTCCGATGATTCCACCATAAAGGTGATTGACGAAAGCTTTTAATATGTATTAGAGTGTTTCAGTTTGTTAGGAGTAAAAAAAATTGATATTTTTCCAAACTTTGCTCGGTTTTGAAGTCTCCCTAAACTTAGTAATATATATTGACAATTTCAACAAGATTGGACAATATTAAGGGGTTGCGCAGATGAAAAGTATGGATGAGAAATGAAATTTTACACTAAACATACGAAATGTCCTATTTGTTTCATTCCATTCAGTTCCTTTTTTGCAATACCAGGAAAATTCAGTAACTGTTGGGTGAATAAAACAATTTTCAGTGCATATATGACTTTTGTCATCCATCTTGCTTGATGGAAGGCCCCTGGAACCCTAAATGGGAAATTATTTTGAAACCAACCTTCAAGGTATAACAATGAAAGTTGTTATAACTCCTTGCAATGTTTTCTTGGATAAATTCCATTCTCTAAGATGTTTTGAAGATAATGGACCATTTTCTTAAAAGCATCAAAGTTTTCTTGTTTTTTAATCTTTTCTACAATTTATGACGAATACTTTTGTCTATACCACTCATTGACGAACTCATATGATTATCTCTCTACACTATCAAAAATTCTTTATCTTTTTGTTATGCACTATTCTATAAAATCATATTTATAATCTCGTTCATGCAGTCATCTTTAATCATAAATAATAGAGTAACATATATTAAATATATAAATGTAATTTAACAATTTTGAGAGGTCTTACACTTTGTTCAAAAGATTCTGAAAGAAAAATTATGCATTTTTTCTTGAGCAAAATGTGTAATTTCTATTTATCGTGAACCTTTTGTCTGTTAGATATCCTTTTGATTATCTTTGCTAATTTGGTTATTTAAATTAATTAGGCTTTTTTTAGTACGTTTTGCTACTTGTATTTTTAATTATTAATTGCAGTTGTTATTGATACGCACAGGAATGAAGTACTAGAAAATAATATCTGGAAATAAATCGAATATTATCTCTTACCACTTTTTTATTCAAAATAATATTTGGTTTATTCTTGAAAAATGTCTTCCACTAATTAGTTTTAACCTATTGACACAATGCCAAATAAATTAAAATAGTTAGCAATCCCCTCCCTTCAAAGATTTAAGGACTCACATTACAGATTATGAGGAAATCCAAAATTCAGATACAATTTTTTCTGACTGCCAATAAGTATTTGAACTACAACNCACTACTTCGTTAAGTTTTTATCTAACTACGTAAATAGTATCTTGTTTTAGAAGTAAAATTGAATCTTAATGGGTACTTTTAAAAATAATAGTATTTAAGCGCGTTGTTGTTTGAATCATTACTTCCTTGTTGGAGTCAGGCCAATATTTCGAGACTGCGTTGTTTGTTATTTTGAGAATAAAAAATGCAGATTTATGCGAGTATAAGAACAATAGATTTATGTATGTATTGTAATACCGCACTTCCGCACTTTTTTAATAGGTACTTTTTTATTGAATTTCAAGCAGAAAACATGTCAGGGCCAATTCGAATAAATTTTTCTCAAATAGTGTTTATTTTCATTTTTTTTTTAAGTTACTTTATCTTTTTTTTTTTTTCGACGTTCATTCAGACTCTCATGCAAGAAATAAAACAATGAAAAGTAAAACGTATATTTAAAAAAAACATGCACAAATAGGAAATTACATTCGATTTCAAAGAAATACACAAAGATTTCGTGGAACAGAATAACAAACAGTGCTGAACAACTCGAATTACAACTAGCAATTAATAATAAAATTACAATTTAAATAATAACATAATGCTAAAATATTTCACAAAAATGAACATTCTTAGCTTACTATAAATACGGGGTTAATTCACACCACACCTACTAGATCCCAACAAAAATAAAACCGTAAGCTACCCCTTTTGGAAGGGCGGTCAAGGCAGCGCTGAAATTGTAAGGCAAATTTCACACTGACATACCGAACATTTTAAATCGTGATTTGTTGATAATCGTCTGTGGAACGATTTTGCAGGTTCAGCTTCAATTTCGCTCTCAGACGAATCTTCACAAACCGGCGAAACACTATCGTCTTTAACGTTTCTTTTACCAGACGCCATTCTACCACGCCATTTTTAGAGCATTTGAGCTTTTTGGTGCTAGTTGGAGCTTTGGTAGCTTTCACTTGAGGAATTTATTCATACAAAGTTGCCGTATTTGTAGCATAATGCCCTGCATTTTAAAAAATCATGCATTATAAGTAAAAATGTTAGAAAATAATAACTTTTTTAGTTTTATTGCATATTCAACCGCCATTATAAAACCGGAAATGCGTTTTTGATGCATACAGGCATATTTTACAATTTGTATATCAATAAAAAAATTATGTTGGCAACGTTATACTTTTCAAACCTGCCAAATACTTCAGAAGATGGCGTGATAAGTTTGAGAGTTTATCTATTGTGGTTATGTTAAGATTACTTTGTGTGTAAACCCAGAAATATTTCTGGTTAATTTAAAACATTATTTAGTATAGTTTTACTAATCGAGATATTTAAAATGAGTTTTTCAAGCGATGAAGTTAATTTTCTTGTGTACAGATATCTTCAAGAGTCAGGTATGCGAATTGGCGTTTGTTTACACATATTATCATACTATGAATTTTTGCAAAATTATGAATTATAACAATGTTTGTTCTAAAAAATAAATATTATATAGGTTTTCAACATTCTGCTTACACATTCGGAATAGAATCCCATATATCTCAATCAAATATAAATGGAGCTTTGGTGCCTCCAGCTGCACTGCTGAGTATCTTACAAAAGGGCCTACAATATACAGAAGCAGAAATAAGCATTGGTGAAGATGGCACAGAACAAAGATTAGTTGAAAGTTTAAGTCTCATTGATGCTGTTATGCCAGATGTAGTGGCCAGCAGGCAGAACCAACAGAATCAACAGAAACAAAATATCAAATCTGAAATTACAGATACTAATGGAGAAGAAGGTGAGTTAGACACTAAACTTGGAGTATTATTTTTACTGAATCACTCAATTTATTCTGAATTTATATTTGTTATTGCAATGCTACAGCAGCAAATAAAGGTGAGAAAACGATCATGTTGATGTTAGAAATTTAAGTCATAGATGTATAATTTTCTTGGTTTAATGTGTATGTTTCTGTTTTAGCTGTTGTTTCAACTCAAAATGAGAGCATGGAAGTGGATACCTCAATTGAAATACCATCATCAAAGGCAACTATTCTTAGAGGACATGAATCTGAAGTGTTCATTTGTGCTTGGAATCCAACAACTGATCTTTTGGCTAGTGGATCTGGAGATAGTACAGCCAGAATATGGGATATGACAGATAATACAACAAGTCCTAATCAATTAGTTTTAAGACATTGCATTCAAAAGGGAGGTACAGAAGTTCCCAGCAATAAAGATGTTACATCTTTAGACTGGAATGTAAGAAACATGTAAATCATGTACTTGCACAAATATTATCAAATCTGTATTTTCAGTGTATTGGAAGTTTACTGGCAACTGGCAGTTATGATGGCTATGCAAGAATTTGGACCACTGATGGAAGACTGGCTAGCACATTAGGACAGCACAAGGGTCCCATCTTTGCCCTTAAATGGAACAAAAAGGGCAACTACATACTTTCAGCAGGAGTATGTGTATTATCTTACTAATTTGTCAAACTTAGAATAAACTTTTCTGTAAACCTTAGGTGGATAAAACAACAATAATTTGGGATGCAGCAAGTGGGCAGTGTACTCAGCAGTTCAGTTTTCATTCAGCTCCAGCTTTAGATGTTGACTGGCAAACAAATAACTCATTTGCAAGTTGTTCTACAGATCAGTGCATACATGTTTGCAGATTGTCAATGGATAAACCAATTAAATCTTTCCAGGGGCACACTGTAAGTGAATACTATTATTTTGCTAAGTCTTTATTATAACTAAAATACACTAATTCTGGTTTAGAATGAAGTTAATGCTATTAAATGGGATCCACAAGGCAACTTACTGGCATCATGCTCAGATGATATGACATTAAAAATATGGTCCATGAAACAGGATACTTGTGTGCATGATTTACAAGCTCATTCAAAGGAAATTTACACAATAAAGTGGTCACCCACAGGTCCTGGAACTCAAAATCCAAATATGAATTTGATCTTAGCTTCTGCCAGTTTTGATTCAACTGTTCGACTTTGGGATGTTGAAAGAGGTAAATCATTAAATAATGTTGAAATAACGTGAAGCATTTAAGAAAGTTTTATTTAACTGTTTTAAACAAAATGTACAAGATACGTTCATACTTAACAATTTTCTTATAAAACAAGAATGTTTGAGTTTTCCTTACATTCCTCATTTCTAAAATTTATTAAAGTAATTTTTCGCAAAAGTTGCCAATCTTAAAGTTAAACAATAATCATTGAATGATATGAAATTGGTACAAGTTGAAAGAATAAAAATGCCACAGCAGTTTATAATCATATATTTATTTTATTCATAGGTGCTTGTATCCACACTCTGACTAAGCACACAGAGCCTGTTTATTCAGTAGCGTTCAGCCCCGATGGCAAATTTTTGGCAAGTGGTAGCTTCGACAAATGTGTACATATTTGGTCTACACAATCTGGACAGTTAGTACACAGTTATAAAGGTACCGGGGGCATTTTCGAGGTGTGTTGGAACTCTAGAGGTGACAAAGTAGGTGCTAGTGCTTCGGACGGCAGTGTCTTTGTACTTGATCTACGTAAACTGTAATCAGGTGGACATTATAGACGTTGTATAGGTAAGGATTTTAATATTAAGACAAAACTTGAACAAAACATTTTGTACTTGCAGTTTCGTATCTTTAAATGAATTATTTTACATTACTGTTTTTTTACATAGCAATTGAATGTTTGTGATAGTTAAAAAGAATGTTTTAATTGCATGTTTGATTTTTAAGACAATCTAAATATGTATGAAACTGATTGCAATTTTTTAGAGGTATCATTTAATAATAGATTGATATTACTTATATGATTTATTTAATCTTTCTGTTTTTTAATATTTTTGTTGTAAAAAGGAATCCATTAATACGGTATAAAAAAATTTTAATCTCTACTTTTTTAATGTCATAACAACCTTCTTTTATAAGCATACAGCATTTGATGTTCATAATATTTATGTATGAGTTGGTACATATACTTAAAAAAAAATAACAAATCGTCATACTGGCCATTGTAAGCCAGCTTGTCTCTTTTATCCTTAAAAATATTTGTTGAATTCTCCAACACTTTAGATTGGAAACAGCTCTTGAGTCCTTCATATTCCTGGTTCACTCCCCACATGTTTAAATGTATTTCAACTAGGAACTGATGAACAGCTTCAATAGTTGCCAAGTACCATCTTGGACTGCCTTTTTGGTGCCTCCAAAACTGCGAAACGCGATTTTGCAAAACAACACAAGGTAAGCTTTTGATTCTTTCATCCTTATAAATTCCTTTACTTTGACTCCAAGTACTATCAATGAAAACAACTGTTTTCACTGGCAACTTACCACTGTTTTTGCAATTGATGTTTTGTAAGTTTTCAGTTGCTTTCATTAACAGCGTTGTTCGATTAAAACCCTTTGCTAAAGAAATAACTGCTGCCCTCTTATTGTCATTCAGAGTTGTTAAATCAACACTTAAATGTTCTTTAAATAGTTGTGAAACTAAGGAGGCTTTATAACTGGGGTACACTAATACTGTAGTTTGAATATCATAGTTAGGGATGTTAGGGTAGGTAAAAACTTCCACATCATCAGGAGCTAAAATAGCTGCATGTGCTGCAGTGCTTTTGCCATCTATTTCTCGTCGGTGTTTTATTATGTTTACCTTAACAGGAAGCTAAAGTAAGAAAACAAAATAATTAATAATCAATCTATAAATGTTTTAAGAATCTTAAGCCTTCCTAAAGTTTAGAAAAAATGTGATAAACAAATATGAAATGTAGTTAATTCAAATTGTCAGTTATTAACTGGCCAAATTCAAAGGCCCAACTATTAACAAGTCATTATAAGAAAGATGTAATTTTCGTGGTTTATATACATTAATATAAATATGATTTAAAGCTAGTGTTAGGACGATTATAAACCAACATAATTGAATATAAACTAGCAGTTAAATGAAAGTTGAGTTGTATATGAGGCCCTATATAACTTACTTTGACATGAGGAAGCCTGCCCTCTAATTTTACAATAGGCACGTAACATGTATAGCAAAAGAATTTTCTGGATTTGTAACACTTTGGGCACGGTTGTCGTCCTTCCATATCTTTCAAAAAACAGTTATCACTTATTCTCATGCCATCAAAAGGTGAGATATTCAAATCTCCAGAAGTTATTATAGGTTCTGTAGAACAGGCCATTTTGTAAAAGTTTAAATCACTACACTTATAAACTACGTATGATTATACATTTGCAAAATACAATCGTTTTGCATTTTACTTAAGTCGTTTAATTTATATTGTTTAAACCTTAAACTTTGAGGTTATGGACACTTCGTGTTTTTAAGAGCACATAACGCCATTTTATTTCAGTTCTGACAAGCATAAGACAACAAAATCCCTTTTTGAAATGAGGTAAGTGGTAGATAACCCCGCAATCTCGTGCGCAGTTATAGTTGCCTATGGGCTAACGGATTTTTATAACAGAAAATAAAAATTATATTAAACGTTTTAAATATATAAAGCATTAATATAATAATAATAAGGCTTTTTATTGTGTTATCAAAAGTGTCCAATATAAAAAGCAACAGAAGTTACAGACAGAAACTTCAAATTCGGTTACCTCTAGTTTAACTGTTTAAAATTAAAACTAAACTTTTTCCATTCTTTTCTTGAAAATAAAACCTCAGAATGCTGAAACTTTTTGAAAATCTATCATGTCAAAAGGAACTTTTATAAAATATTAGAAACCCCCATTAATTGCTTAAAAGCTACCCCTTACTTAATTGCATAACAAGCGTGTAAAACTGTAAACACAAAAACGCGCACGTAAATTTTCGACTTTTTCAAATGCTACTTCAAACGTTCAAAGGGATTACAAACATGTAAAAAAGCATGTAGAATTCAGTGGTGATAACAGATTTTAGGTGCGAATTAGCGTAAGTGAGCTACCCCTTAATTAATTGTTTAAAAGGCGTTCAAAACTGTAAACACAAAAACGCGCACGTAAATTTTCGACTTTTTAAAATACTACTTCAAACGTTCCAAAAGATGACAAACATGTAAAAAAGCATGTAGAATTCAGTGGTGATAACAGATTTTAGGTGCGAATTAGTGTAAGTGAGCTACCCCTTAATTAATTGTTTAAAAAGCGTTCAAAACTGCAAATACAAAAACGCGCACGTAAATTTTCGACTTCTTAAAATACTAGATACTATAAACGTTCCAAAAGATGACAAACATGTAAACAAGCATGTAGAATTCAGTGGTGATAACAGATTTTAGGTGCGAATTAGTGTAAGTGAGCTACCCCTTAATTAATTGTTTAAAAGGCGTTCAAAACTGTAAACACAAAAACGCGCACGTAAATTTTCGACTTTTTCAAATGCTACTTCAAACGTTCAAAGGGATTACAAACATGTAAAAAAGCATGTAGAATTCAGTGGTGATAACAGATTTTAGGTGCGAATTAGCGTAAGTGAGCTACCCCTTAATTAATTGTTTAAAAGGCGTTCAAAACTGTAAACACAAAAACGCGCACGTAAATTTTCGACTTTTTCAAATGCTACTTCAAACGTTCAAAGGGATTACAAACATGTAAAAAAGCATGTAGAATTCAGTGGTGATAACAGATTTTAGGTGCGAATTAGCGTAAGTGAGCTACCCCTTAATTAATTGTTTAAAAGGCGTTCAAAACTGTAAACACAAAAACGCGCACGTAAATTTTCGACTTTTTCAAATGCTACTTCAAACGTTCAAAGGGATTACAAACATGTAAAAAAGCATGTAGAATTCAGTGGTGATAACAGATTTTAGGTGCGAATTAGCGTAAGTGAGCTACCCCTTAATTAATTGTTTAAAAGGCGTTCAAAACTGTAAACACAAAAACGCGCACGTAAATTTTCGACTTTTTCAAATGCTACTTCAAACGTTCAAAGGGATTACAAACATGTAAAAAAGCATGTAGAATTCAGTGGTGATAACAGATTTTAGGTGCGAATTAGCGTAAGTGAGCTACCCCTTAATTAATTGTTTAAAAGGCGTTCAAAACTGTAAACACAAAAACGCGCACGTAAATTTTCGACTTTTTCAAATGCTACTTCAAACGTTCAAAGGGATTACAAACATGTAAAAAAGCATGTAGAATTCAGTGGTGATAACAGATTTTAGGTGCGAATTAGCGTAAGTGAGCTACCCCTTAATTAATTGTTTAAAAGGCGTTCAAAACTGTAAACACAAAAACGCGCACGTAAATTTTCGACTTTTTCAAATGCTACTTCAAACGTTCAAAGGGATTACAAACATGTAAAAAAGCATGTAGAATTCAGTGGTGATAACAGATTTTAGGTGCGAATTAGCGTAAGTGAGCTACCCCTTAATTAATTGTTTAAAAGGCGTTCAAAACTGTAAACACAAAAACGCGCACGTAAATTTTCGACTTTTTCAAATGCTACTTCAAACGTTCAAAGGGATTACAAACATGTAAAAAAGCATGTAGAATTCAGTGGTGATAACAGATTNGTTTCGGTTTCGGTTTCGGTTTCGGCCGAAACTGAGACCGTTGCCGAAATTCGGTTTCGGTTTTGATCGTAAAAACCAGTTTCGGTCGGACACTAGTTTTAAGTATACTGCATTAGTTTCGAGTTTGATTCCCGACTGATGCAATGCCTTTTTGTACCTAGTTACACCTTGTTTAGCAACAACACTACTTACCTTGCACCTTCACCGAATGTTTAAAACTTAGTTTTATGTATTTTCCATATTTCTTGCAGGATATATTATGAATATTCAGTACACCGTGTCGTAGGTATAATATGTAAATTGTAAAGAAAGCTAAAATCTGAATAATTTATTTATTGTACTATCTGTATTTGTAGCACTTTAAATCTCGATAAAGATATGCTACTGAAAGTGTTTTTATATCGAATAAACGTTTCTGTAAAATATCAGACCATACTACACAGGTTAATTTTTTTTTGTAGAAAAGTGAATAGTCCAACTCAGAAGAAATTAAGTAGATCTTTTTAAGTATGTAAACAGCCCATCCTTCGGTCATCCATTACTAATAAGTAGAAGTAATACGTGTCTATTGAGCACCCAGTAACTTTCTCTTTTCAAGCGGTAACCAATACATAACGATTCAGCAAAACAGTCCAAGTCTTTTATTTTTATTATTAAAAAACGAAATCATGCCCCACTAACAAAAAACACGCAAATTAAAAAAGTTTTTTAAATAAAAAACAACTGTAGAAGATCATTTATCAAAGTATGTTTTTCATTTAGTTAGTGCTGTAGGTATCTGCACGAAGAAAACTAAATTTTTATGGTAACACAAAAATTATAATTTTCGATTGTAAATGATTGAATTTAAATAGAAATAGTAGAATTTATTGGGTAACTTGTAATAATATCAATTTTGACATGTTTCTTTAAAAATTATTTCAAGTTTNAGCATGTAGAATTCAGTGGTGATAACAGATTTTAGGTGCGAATTAGCGTAAGTGAGCTACCCCTTAATTAATTGTTTAAAAGGCGTTCAAAACTGTAAACACAAAAACGCGCACGTAAATTTTCGACTTTTTCAAATGCTACTTCAAACGTTCAAAGGGATTACAAACATGTAAAAAAGCATGTAGAATTCAGTGGTGATAACAGATTTTAGGTGCGAATTAGCGTAAGTGAGCTACCCCTTAATTAATTGTTTAAAAGGCGTTCAAAACTGTAAACACAAAAACGCGCACGTAAATTTTCGACTTTTTAAAATACTACTTCAAACGTTCCAAAAGATGACAAACATGTAAAAAAGCATGTAGAATTCAGTGGTGATAACAGATTTTAGGTGCGAATTAGCGTAAGTGAGCTACCCCTTAATTAATTGTTTAAAAGGCGTTCAAAACTGTAAACACAAAAACGCGCACGTAAATTTTCGACTTTTTCAAATGCTACTTCAAACGTTCAAAGGGATTACAAACATGTAAAAAAGCATGTAGAATTCAGTGGTGATAACAGATTTTAGGTGCGAATTAGCGTAAGTGAGCTACCCCTTAATTAATTGTTTAAAAGGCGTTCAAAACTGTAAACACAAAAACGCGCACGTAAATTTTCGACTTTTTAAAATACTACTTCAAACGTTCCAAAAGATGACAAACATGTAAAAAAGCATGTAGAATTCAGTGGTGATAACAAATTTTAGATACGGATTGACGTAAGTAAGCTACCCTTTAGTTAATTGCTTAAAAGGCGCGAAAACTGTAAATACAAGAAAGCCTACTTTTTTGACTTTAAGATTCAGAAAAGTTAAAAAAATGATTGTGAATATTTAATACCCTTGTGGTCCATTTTTGGTCCCAAACTGTGGTTTTCTTTGATAATAATAAAAAGCAGTAGCCGGTTTGGAATTCGTACCGTAATTTTACTTTGCGGTCGTTTAAAGACTTATTTTATACTCACGCTATGCAGAATCGTATAGGTACTTAGTTTTGTGTTAGCACGGTTGATATTTACTAGTAATTTGCTCTATTTGTCACCGCAACACCGTGGTGTAGGAGAGAATAATAACAATCGCAGCAATCCGTTCATGCAGCGAGCGAGCGAGCGAACAAACGAATTGTGGCGACTGCAAGGTACTTTTTTTTTCAGTAAATCTCGCTAGACATGAACAGTTTCGGCAACAATCAGGCCGTAAAAATATAACGTGTACAAAATTTTAAAGCAAGACGTGCGGTCTTACCCAAAATGCCTGGCTTTCATCCGTTTCGACCTACATACAAAAAACTTCTAATGTCTAATACAATATTTTTATTCGCCAAAAACGGACCATTTATTATGAATTGAAACTACTTCATATTCCATACGCAACTAATATTTATAAACAATGGCTTTCATTGTCAGAGATGTGATTTATTTGAAATACTTGCATTTAAAATGCAAATACAAAATAAAAATTATCTTGCATTTAAATACTTTTTTTGAGAAAAGCATTTTGTATTTTATTTAAAATGCCAAACGTATTTTCTATTTGTAAAATGCAAAATACATTTTTGCTTTTAAGAGTTTTGCTAGTATCACCGATCAAACATTATATAAAATGATGAATGAAAGTTGTTCACATTGGTCATTGAAGGTATTAGAAGCGTAAAAAGGGGACAGAGAAACATTCCATGAATGCCCTCCAATTCTTTAACTGAAAAGAGCCTAAAAAATTCTGAACTCCTTAGAAATGGATAATCTAAAATATTGGATCGATATTGTTTTCCGCGTTCAATGTTATTGTCCATGGAATTTTGAAGTTCCAAAATGATATCAGCACCTGCCCAAATCACCACTTATCGTACCTTTAGCAAGGAACTACGAAATTCTATGAAATTACGACAAAACAGCCCGCAAAA